ATATTCATCAAGTTTTCAGGTGTTTGACTATATACGTAAAGAGCCGTGGTATGTGCCTGAACTATCCCTGTTCAATGACATATTAATGATGTTGGGGAAGAACAAAATGATCGAGATGGTCGAAAAACTCTTCTTTGAATTGAGGAAAGAAGGCCTTGAACCTGATGCAAGGACTTATACCGAACTTATTGGAGTGTATTTCAAAGTTGAAAAGGTAGAAAAGGCAATGGAAACGTATGAGCTGATGAAGTCTTCAGGTCACATGCCGGATAAGTTAACGTTAACGATTCTAATAAGAAATCTCGAGAAGGCCGGTGAGGAAGCTCTCTCGGAAAAAATAAAGAAAGAATGTGCCGACTATTTCGATAAGCCTGATAGATTTCTTAAAGAAGTTGAACGAAAATTTGTGAGTATTCACATCCTTCACCACAAGTTGAGAATGTTGTTATATGCTTGTGAATTGACCATCTTCTTATATAATTAGTCCTTCTAATCACCTAAAATCAAGTAAGGCTGTAGCAACTCCTAATGAAAAAGGTTTTCATGACCTTTTCTGAAGTCGTATGAAATTATTCGTGTGTTTACTATGTGAAACATGTTGGAAATTAATTGCTATCCTCTGTAGTTACAGCTGCGTAAAATTAAATTAAACTTTTTGATTGATTGATAATGCATTTGTTATTCTCAATCCCATGGATAATAAGTAAATTTGAATATACAGGACAAAGATTAATTTTCAATAATATTTGTTTACTAATAATAGTGGTGACAATTTGTTTGGCAAATACAACTTCCATAAATCCAACTTAGATTGAAAAGTCCAGAACTTCCATATATCTGATATCGAACTTAGATTGGTAAGACGTAATTCCGAAAAATCGAATCTTTTTCATTTTGAGTTACATACATATCTGCTTTTCTGCCTTGCAGCCCAAGCGCAAATCCCTAATTCACATTTGAAGCCATGGAATCAAGATGTTATCAACAGATTCTGGTGCATCATTCGGTACATAGAACAGATGCTACATCGAAGTTGATAATCCGTGGTTCGTGTTCGTCTACTCTTGTTGAAACCAACTTCTACACTTGTCAGTATGTGATTATTTTATGCAAGATATGTTGATTTTACCAAATCATGTCTGGGAATCTTTATGAATGGTTACTTGATATTTTCGCAAAGTGGGTCAAATATGAGTTGCAGATTTCCATGTGAAGAAAATATGCAAATAGGAAAAGGTATAAGAAAAATGAGTGTGTTCGGTCATGGTGGAGCAAGTGGCCGTAGTGTGTGCTATGTTTGCGTGACCCAAGCCTAACAAATATCGAATATGAACATATAAAATACACTTGGCCAGCCATGGAAATCAAGTTCTGTTTTTTGCTTTTTTTTTTTTTCCTTACAAATATTTTTTTCACTAGTGTTTATGTATTTTTGTATGCTCATCAGTGGTGTTTTGTTTTGTGTGGGAGAGTTGGGAGATGTGGTAACAAAGAATCAGTAATAAAAGTAGAGGGTATAAATGCATATTTGACTTTTGTATTTCAGTGTTCATATGAAAAATTTCCGGTGCGTAAAAATAGCAATTCCACGCGCTAATTGTTAACGCCATTTGGAATGTAATTTTCATATGACCAAATTATACTGCCCTAGGAAAATATTTAGGATTTAAAAGACATACAAGACTTATACTGCTCGGTTTAGTCAAAATTGATGATAAAACGCGCCCATAAAAGTTACAAATTTCATATGAATTTTTTCCTAATAATGCTGCAAAAGCATTCAGAATATACGTAATTGTTGTTTTACTATTATTACTGGTGTTGTTCATTTTTTGTGAATATAGTTATGGTTGAGTGGAAACAGTATAAATTAGTCGAGATTTCTTGAAGATTGTTAATGTATTGATTTTACCAAATTTTGTCAGTGTTGGTCATTTTTGGGAGAAATGCACAAAAAGTCTACATTGCAATTTCAGATATATTTAGACTAATATGTATTAATTTAGATATGTATTAATTAACACCATTTTGGATCAATTAAAGCTACTAGATTAAATAAATTATCATGCATTCTTGATATATCTAGAATGATATGCATTTTTCGATATATCTAGACTAATATGTATTAATGAACACCATTTTGGATCAATTAAAGCTACTAGATTAAATAAATTATCATGCATTAGAATGATATGCATCTGAAGAGGTGTTATATATATAAGCTTTTTTTTTTAATTAATTCAATAAAAATTAAATATCAAATATATTTTATAAAATAAGCAAAAACTTGGATAATGTTACACAAAAATTAATAAACTTAAATTAGAATGATGTTAATAAATTAATAATATAGATAAGAATGAAGCCAAAAAATAGAGAGGATGCTATTTTGGGGGAAGATTTATAATGAAACCCAAAAGTTATGCATCTGTATTCAAAACTTATTGACTTTTGAGGAAGATTTATAATGAAAACAGAAGATTCTCAAATAAAATAATAAATCAATAACAAAAACATTGCATTATCCATCTGTTTTATTTTTTAAATTAACTATTTTGTTCAAAATGTCTATAATTAAATAATTTGAAAAGTGAAATATTATCAACCCAAAATAAATCATGTTTTCTCAATTTTTTCAAAACCATTTTCACTTCTCGTCAAAATCACACCATCATCCTCACCCCCATATACATGAGAACTGCAAAAAGTTGAGATATTACCATCACCAATCTATATGGAACAAATAAGAAACTATAAGAAAATAATACAACACAGTTACAGTTCATGGCCGAACAAAATTCAAAGCCAAACCTCAAGATGCCTCCAAGAACACACACGCACACAATAAATCAATCAATCTGAACAGCATTTCAAGTTTATTTGTCAGCCGGCTAAATGGCTAGGAGACTTGTTGAACATGGCATGCCACATGTAAGCTTGAGAAAGCACCATCTCAAGCTCGACATCTGTCCAGTTGTTCGTCGGGAGGTGCTGAAGAAACATCACCATTTCTTGAAAATCGAGCTTTCTCAGCTTATCCGACCACTGCAAAATAATCACGTAACACAAAGCTCGTCAGTCTTGCACCTGAATTTGGATAAATAAACCAAAGCATTCATTCGTACCGTCAAAAGAAAACTGGCGAATATGTAGACTAGAAAGTCGGGTAATGCATCCCCTTCAGCAAGATACGTGTCCCACAAACGAGTAACAAGATGAAATGGAATCTACAAAAACCAACGATTTTATTAGCGGATCTAAAAAGGTACTTAACAGAGATAGAGAGCAATGTGTACCTCGCGTATAAGAAGGCAATTGAACCAGCGAAAAGCAAACTGAAGAAACTCAAGCCCCTGTTCCTCTATGTGCCTCGAAATGGGTTCTATTAGTTCATGACAAACGGAAAGTCAGTTTGTAAGCATGAGGATTTATGATACACCGAAAATGGGTCAACAAATTACAACACAAGGATCTCTCCTAAACAATAATGAATTGATAAAGATGTGAAAGCTGTTTGATTCAGTGTCGATTGAATCTTTCCATCTAAGAAATAAGGAATAAAGAATATGTCCACGTTGACCAAGAATGCTATTGAAATTTCTCAAATTAGTATTTAAAATCCAATCTTTAAAATATGTTATACAATTATAGTGGTCAGTTCAGTCAAAGTTGAACCAAAATAATCCTACTTTCAGATGATTCTTATCTACAAAACTTAAACGAACATTGAAATTATCCTTGTCTAATATCTTAATATTCATTAGTCGAGATATTCTCTTTTAGCATATAAGCGTCATCATTTAAAGTCGTGCAGTTCCTAAGTAGATAAAGTGCAATTTAGTATCATTTTAGTACTCTTGTTTCATTATTTTCAATTTAGTAATGAAGTCTCACGTGTTAAATAAATTTAGAGTGTGCTTCAAATTTTCAATCACATTAACAATCACAAACAAACACAGTGATATAAAGAGCCTATTAGCCAAAAAGTCATACCATCAATCCTTCTAACCAATTCCTTCAACTTAAACACGAGTCGCTGGATTCCTGGCTGGGCAAACGTGTAGTGGTCTTGCATACCGTCAAGCAACTTTGACAGGCACCAATAGCAATCGGCTTCTACATTTGATATTTTCTCAGAAGAAAGATCGGAAATTGACCAAGAGTCAACACTACCCTCCAAGTATTCGGATAAGAAAACGACCAAGAAGGGTGTCGCCAGATCATTTATCCCTTGAACATAACCACTTGCAGGATGCCTAATGGCCCTGGAAATGGAACATGAAAACTAGCGTCTCTATTACATAAGTTCACAAGAAGAATGCAGTCAAACAATCAAATGTAAAATGCACACACACACACACTGTGTGTACAGGTGCACTCGTGTATAAAACAGAGTTGGAGGTATAAAACTTTTGGAAAAGAACCTTCCATCAACTTTTTAAAGCCATAATATAAAAAGAATGAAGAAGCACTCTCCTGTCAAAAGGTCCCCTAAAACTTAAGATTAATAATAATATAAAAATATGAAAAGATAGAAAACTTATTTCCCAAAAAAAAAAAGGAACTCTAACAACCTGAAAAATGAACAATTAAAATTTGGAAAATTAGAAACCTAGAGAGACTAAAAACTCCAAGGAAAAACTAAAAAAAAGCAAAACTCTAAAGGCTGGGATATTTGGGCTCTTGCTGATGTACTACTTTCATCAGACAGCCTGACACAAGTTATTGCTAAGAATAGTACCACTCATTCTAAACATCATAAGCACCAAGAAGGTACCTAGCATGAACCAATGGTGAAGTAACATTGATTGATATGCAGAGGAAACTAACCAAGTATAAAGTATTCGCTCCAGTGACTTTTGGACTTCAGCTTGTTGAAAGAATGTAACATTAGGTACAGTTCTGGGACAATCAACGGCAATCTACCAAAGCCCGTGAGTATCCATCGTATAAGTATAAGTAGGAGTATGCATAAAGGACATGTGAAGTAACAAGTAATAACAAATGATAGATTCAAAAATCAAGAAAATAAATACAACCTGACGAAGCATGTTAACCTCTTCATCTGTACGCTCTCGGTCGGGAATATCATAGTATTGGGTAACGTAATCGAGATACTCTAAGCGCTTTCGCCTCAGAACTCCTTCCCTTCTGTCTGAACTACAGGGTGCATATCCCTAATCATCAGTTATTTATTTTTCAGTATTAGTTAATAACGAGATAAAAGACTTACAATCATAATTCATAGTAGTTTAAAGTATGAGAGAGAGAGAGAGAGAGAGAGAGAGAGAGAGAGGAAAATCAAATAGAAATTGTGTGTACCAAGAGAAGTCTCCATACGGTTGGACGCAAATATGGTGGCACACCACTCCATGCTAATTCACGCAACTTATCTGCAAGATACAAACAAAAAAAACAATCTAAGAACTGAGAGAAGAAATCAACGAGAAGTTTAGAAAGTAACATTTTAACAATACATTGACGAGGTTGAATGAATCTCACTAATAAACTTTTCACAACAGTTGTCAATTTCATTGCTCCTAATACAAATCCAATCACAGACATAGTTGACTTATTTCACCAATTGGACAATATGGAAGTCATTAAACAAAACTAATGGTTTACTGTGCACCTGAGATACCTCCACATGTAAAAAGAATATACATGTAGCTAAAGATGTTTCTTAACCAATGAAGATATATCTTGTGCAAACTACAAAATAAAAATGAAATAAATGCAATATATCTAAACATTCAGAACATTCAGATTCAAGTGGTGAGTCGTGATACTCGAAAACACAAAAGATGCATTTGGAGAAAGTGGTCAGAAGAAATTAAGATGAGCACAGATAATGTAAAGACTCCTAATCTTTTTTATCACTCCTCCTGCAAGGTAGATAGATGGGAAGATTCTGTTATGATGCTTAAACGTCATATTCAGGCAATTCCAACATTACACATTTATAGAAATACATCACCATAACAGGCATAACTCCTAATCTTAAAATATTACCATCTTCACAGAACATTGCTGAATGGAGAATAGGAGAGAGGTACAAACCTAAAATTACACTTGAACCGGACAACTCCTTTGTGAACTTCGTTAGCCTAGCAGAATCTGTAGATCTAGCACCCATTGAGGACTTATGGATCTCATTTGACGTGCTTTCACCACTCGAACTCGAAGATTTTGTCTGAGTAACTGAAGAACTAGCATTCGTATTGTTTCTGTTTCGAAAATCATCCTGAATGCAAGGAGAACTTCTATGAATAATTTAAAGGATTTAATATTCCTGTGTTTACATGAGTATTTATTTGTATTTCTGAGTGTAGAATAAACAAAACCTCAAGAGGGGCATCCATGTCATTGCCATTTTCAATATAATCCTCTGACAATTTCCTTGCAGTGTTTGGAGGGTACAAAACTGGTTGGTCGACAGGGTCTGATCTCCGGGTTATCAATATCTTACCAGGGAAGCTCCGTCCCTTGAGCAAACTGTGCAGGTTAGGAATTAATACATTATGTCCTTTGATATTTAATGATTTTTTCTTTCAAGAAAACCTCGTGACATCAGATTTTGTTATTGCAGCAAAAAAGACAAGGAAAAAAGGAAAATTCCAGCTCATATTGAAGTATAGGCAAGTTAGTGAGAAAGTACAGCAGACAACAGAAACATTACTTCCCTTTAAACTCACAAATGATAATTTTAATTAAAGAAACGATTCGACATACTTGGTAATGGTCTAGAGGCCTATAAAAGCAACAAAATTGTCAGAGTTCAAGTTTCGTGACCAAAACACGAAAAGGTTCATTCAATTTTTTCGTGGGTCGATTATATGATAAATCTAAAGTCAAAACAACTCAACAAGAAAATAACCTTCCAGTTGTTAAATCTTCTAGGATGGGAACGCCAAGAAATGTTCACTGCTCAACATTTACAGAATCGAGTCATGCTATAATGCAATGATATACATATAGAATCACCGACGATACACATATCAAACATCTATTACAATTAACATAAAATACCAAAATGAACGATCTAGATCTTGCCAACACAAGAAACTGACAAAGTAAATTATTTTTTAGAGAACCCAACTAGAGCAAAAATGGCAGAAATTTGATATCTCAAGGCATCCAATGGAGAAAAATAAAAAATAAAAAAAATAAAAATAAAACGCTTGATGGTAGTGGCACACTGATCCATCATCACTCAACAGCTAAAAACAATCAACATAACAACTCAATTCACCTTACATGCACACAAATCAGTAACTTGAAAATCCCACCTACCCACTTCAAAATTCAGACCAAAATTCACGAGACTCGCTCAAAATTCAGACCAACATAACAAAACTCAAGGCAAAACAACAAATGGAGCTTCCCCGCCCTCGAAATCGTTAATAATACAATACATAAGAAAATTACAACACATTTTGATAGATCTGAGAGGCAAATTAGCTGCAACAGACGAGTAATTCGTACCCTTGAACATTCCTGAGCGTCTGATTGAATCTGGAATCGAGAGCTGATGATAGAGAGGATGAAATTTCTTTGTTCCGATCGTCATCACTGATCTTGCTCTTGCTCATGTTTTTTAGGGGGACTTTTTTTTCTTCCTCAGTCTCGGCCAACTCTGTGTGCTTTTAGCTTCTCTATCATGAATTGAAGTAAAATTGTTTTTTTTTTTTTTCAAGAAAATCATTAACAACAAGAAAACGAATTGTTATTGAAATTAACTGCACTATATTTGTACTTTGGATTTTGATGGGCTTTGTGAATTGGTAGGATGATTTTGTGCTTTGTCTATGCCTGTACACCAGCCGAGCTCGGCTCGTTAAATAAATGAGTCAAAAATCGAGCTCGAGTTCGGCTCATTGAGGCATCCAACTCGAGCATTAACGAGCCGATATCGAACATTAACGAGCCGAATTATAGAAATTATATAAAAATTCTTTTTTCGAGTTTTAACGAAACTTATCGAGTCGAGCTTAACCAAATGAGTTTTGAATAAGCTCGAGCTCCACTCGTTAAGGCATCGAGCTCGAGCCGAAGTCGACGCGAACCAGAGTAGCTTAATTTAACAGCACCAGTTGTGTCACACTATGTTAAGAATATGGGGATCTTATAAATAAACGAGTCAGCTGAGCTCAACTTTACTCGTTTATCAAACGGATCAATAACATAACTTGTTTAAGTTTGTGAAAGATTAGTTCGACTTGGCTAATCTAAGTTGGTCTAATAAACATGAAATTTTAAATGAGTGGTTCGCAAACATGAAATGTCATTCACGAATAAATTCAGTTGGACTGATGTGTTTAGAACCAGTAAAAATATTAAAAGTGAAAAAATATCCTAAAATAAAAAATTAAGTTGTCCGCGAGCAATCTCGGCACGACTTGTTTAAAAAAATGAGTTTGGTTAGTTATTTGAGTTATACGAATGAGTCAAGATCAAACTTTCACGAATTAAGCAAAACTATATTCGTGAACAACTTGATTCGAATAACAATTCTAATTATTAAGAAAATTAACCAACGAATTCTAAAAAAAGATGTTTGATGTAATAAAGTTATCGTAGTGAAAGTTTATGTTTTTTGTTGGATGTTGATTTGTTGAAACAATCTAGGAGATACTAATAAACAATGCATGGAAAGTTTGCAATCTAATTGATACATTTGCATGTTAGAGTTGCTAATATACAATGTGATATAACACCATAGCAGCTTGTTTGTCCCATTTTTGTTACGTTTTTCGTGCCTATTTTCTCGTTCTTTTTCCCCCATTTTGAGTCACTTGTGTGGTTTTAGAGTCGTTTTGTCGTTTATTTCGTGTTTCGCGTCTTTGTGAGTATTTTTGTGTTTTTCCAGTTTTCTTCGTCTTTTCTTTCATTTTCTGTGTGCAGGTCGGAAGCTTTGGGAGGACAAGTTTTCAGGAAAATATGTGCTGAGATTACATAGTTAGATAGAGGGGTTCGTTAGCTACGCGTAGGAAAAAACGGAACTCAATTCCGAGTTCAAACGAGCCCAAACGAGCCCGAAAAGCAAAGTCCAGCAGGCTGCCCAGAACCTTAGCGCCGCTAAGGCACCTTAGCGGCGCTAAGGCACACAGGATAGCGGCGCTACACGTTACTGGCTCGAACGGCTAAGGCACCTTAGCGGCGCTAACCCCCCTTAGCGGCGCTAAGGCCCCCTGCAAGTCCGAGAATGATTTAAAAACCCCAAAAACTCGTTTTCTTCTCCATTCTTTCACTTCCAACTTGAAGGGGGAGGAACCCTAGGTCCGAAAATCGCCTCCCCCCTTCATTTTCCTTCTTCTTCTTCTTCTCTTCTCCTCTTCTCCATCTTTCTTCTCCATTTTTCTTTCTTTTCCATTTTAGGGATTAAGCTTGTATTTTGGATTCAACTTTCGGATTGGATTGATTGTAAGTATTTTTCATCACGTTTAATTCATGAGAAT